CTTCCTGTCCAGGCCAATTTTCAGCTTTCAGCACTATCGCACTTTGAATGACAATTGGACGGTCATGCAACACTGTACCCATATGAGACCGATAAAACTTTTATTTTGGTGGTATTTATTAATGAAAAGGTCGAAAAATTTTGAAAAAAAAGTTCTTATAAAATATTGCAAATAAATCTTTTTTCATAAATCTTGGCCAAAATGTATTAAAAAAAATTAGTTTATAACCAAAATATATAATTTTTCAAAAAAGTTTTTTTTTTTTTTATATATATATATGTGTGTGTATGTTATATATATATATATATATATATATATATATATATATATATATATATATATATATATACACAGTGGGGATTGAAAGTTTGGGCAGCCCAGCTAAAAATTTGTATTAATGTGCATAAAGAAGCCAAGGAAAGATGGAAAAATCTCCAAAAGGCATCAAATTACAGATTAGACATTATAATATGTCAACAAAAGTTAGATTTTATTTCCATCATTTACACTTTCAAAATAACAGAAAACAAAAAAATGGCGTCTGAAAAAGTTTGGGCACCCTGCAGAATTTATAGCATGCACTGCCCCCTTTGCCAAGCTGAGACCTGCCAGTGTCATGGATTGTTCTCAATCATCATCTGGGAAGACCAGGTTATGTCAATCTCAAAGGTTTTAAATGCCCAGACTCATTAGACCTTGCCCAACAATCAGCACCATGGGTTCTTCTAAGCAGTTGTCTAGAAAACTGAAAATAGTTGACGCTCACAAAGCTGGAGAAGGCTATAAGAAGATAGCAAAGCGTTTTCAGATGTCAATATCCTCTGTTTGGAATGTAATTAAGAAATGGCAGTCATCAGGAACAGTGGAAGTTAAAGCAAGATCTGGAAGACCAAGAAAAATATCAGACAGAACAGGTCGCAGGATTGTGAGAAAAACAATTCAAAACCCACGATTGACTGCACGATCCCTCCAGAAAGATCTGGCAGACACTGGAGTTGCGGTACACTATTCCACTATAAAGAGATACTTGTACAAATATGGTCTTCATGGAAGAGTCATCAGAAGAAAACCTCTTCTACGTCCTCACCACAAAAATCATCGTTTGAAATTTGCAAATGAACATATAGACAAGCCTGATGCATTTTGGAAACAAGTTCTGTGGACCGATGAGGTTAAAATTGAACTTTTTGGCCGGAATGAGCAAAGGTACGTTTGGAGAAGAAGGGGCACAGAATTTAATGAAAAGAACCTCTGTCCAACTGTTAAGCATGGGGTTGGATCAATCATGCTTTGGGGTTGTGTTGCAGCCAGTGGCACAGGGAACATCTCACGAGTAGAAGGAAAAATGGATTCAATAAAATTTCAGCAAATTTTGGATGGTAACTTGATGCCATCTGTGAAAAAGCTGAAGTTAAAGAGAGGAGGGCTTCTACAAATGGATAATGGTCCTAAACACACCTCAAAATCCACGGGGGATTACATCAAGAGACGTAAACTGAAGGTTTTGCCATGGCCTTCACAATCTCCTGACCTCAACATAATTGAAAATCTATGGATAGACCTTAAAAGAGCAGTGCGTGACAGACAGCCCAGAAATCTCAAAGAACTGGAAGACTTTTGTAAGGAAGAATGGGCAAAGATACCTCAAACAAGAATTGAAAGACTCTTGGCTGGCTACGAAAAGCGTTTACAAGCTGTGATACTTGCCAAAGGGGGCAGTACAAGATATTAACTCTGCAGGGTGCCCAAACTTTTGCAGACGCCATTTTTTTGTTTTCTGTTATTTTGAAAGTGTAAATGATGGAAATAAAATCTAACTTTTGTTGACATATTATAAGAATAACATTAATACAAATTTTTAGCTGGGGTGCCCAAACTTTCGATCCCCACTGTATGTATGTATGTGTGTGTGTGTGTGTATATATATATATATATATATATATTATATATATATATATAAATATGTTTTATTTTATATTTTATTTTTTTTTTTTTACATCATACTGTCACCCTAGCAGTAGTGTTACTATATTGACACTGTACTACTTGTGGGGGGGTGATGTTTTTTTTTTACACCCATAAAGGCTGTAAAAGCAATCATTTCTCTTTCTCTCTGGCTGCATTCTTGCATCCATTGAGAAATACAGTGAGAGCTGTGATTGGTCACAGCTTATCACATGGTACAAGGCTGTTGTGAATAGCCTTGTACCATGTGATCTCTGTGATCATACACAAATTTCACATGTAGTAAAATTTGGCCAATCAATGATCACATGATCGGGACCTCACACAGAGGTCCTGTACAGCGATCGGTGTTCCGCTGTGCCCTCCGGACACAGGCACCGATCGCAAAGCCGTGCGCGCACAGGCTAAAATGGCGAGCGCTGTTTTATGAACGGCAACCCGCTCCTGCACTGCTCCTTTCTGGCCGTTTATATACATGGGCCGGACGGGAAGTGGTTAAAGCACTTTGCATTCTCTATGTTGCTGGCATGTTTCATTTTCCCTCCTGGAGCCCTTAAAATGCCTCAACTGTCAAGATGTCGGCTGAGCAGGCTAGCCCCTTCTTCATTCTAGAATTAAATTCTCAATGTCTGAGTACTGTCAATGGGTGGGGTACAAGCCTAAAGCTGGCCTTAGAAAGCTTGAATTTTGCGCAAATTAGAATTTCCTTCTAATATCAGATGAAATTTGATCTGTAGGTGGCCCTGCAAACACCACTTGGCTTGACAATTTTATTAAAAAATTGGAAAGCTTTTGGATGACCAGTGATTACATCCTATCAGAAGCAGTCACTGTTCAGCAGTGACATTGTTTTGCAGCCATGGGTGGGGAGGTTGCCTGAATACAATAACCAGCAGTGTAGGTTGCTCCCTCCACACTGTTTAGTGTGGATGGGAGAATCAATTGATTGATTTTACTCTTGTTCAGCCTGCAAGGGTTAAATGCTTAAAGAATAAGGTGTAATACTCATTACACTTTTTTTTTTTTTTTTGCTTTGGCGCTCTCTTCTGCTTTGGATTATGGGTAGGTTCTTGATGTCCTCACGTACAATACAGAGCTGTCAGCCATGCATTATACTTGACAATGTCCTTGTTTGACTGCGGCCCAGTGCGTCTTCTAAAAGAGGCTTGGGGGACCAGTCACACAGATAAACAGCCTGCTGAAGTAAGGAAAAAGGTAATGACTACACCTTATTCATCATCCCCTAGAGGTAACAAGCATTTAACCCTTGCAGTGGATATATTCTAAGTCCCAGAGTTGGCCTTTAATGCTATTTTCAATCTTTGTCCCACCTTTCATTGAATATTCATAGCATTTAAAGTATATCTAAAGTCAAGATAATTTTTATTTATTTTCTATTTTGCAAAGAATGGAGTTGGGGAATGGTAAGACTAGGGTTAAACACAGTGTCCCTTTTAACCTCTGTCAGAACAAGTAGCTTCATTGGAAGTTTTTCCAACTATTCCTGTGCCAGTGACAACTCAATGTTATATTGTCCCTCACTTTTAGTCACCGTAACAAAGGTCACCAGATGGTAAAGCTCACCAGAGGTGACACATCCTGCCATGAAAACCTGAAAGAGCCTCACCCTTGACAACACTAAACTAAAAAAACAAGTACTTTTAAAGACAAAGTGTTTTGGCTTCTTGGCAGCATTTAACACTACATACACTATATTGCCAAAAGTATTGGGACGCCTGCCTTTTTACATGCACATGAACTTTAATGGGATCCCAGTCTTAGTCCGTAGGGTTCAGTATTGAGTTGGCCCACCCTTTGCAGCTATAACAGCTTCAACTCTTCTGGGAAGGCAGTCCACAAGGTTTAGGAGTGTGTCTATGGGAATGTTGGACCATTCTTACAGAAGTGCATTTAAGAAGGCCTGGCTCGCAGTCTCCTCTCTAATTCATCCCAAACGTGTTCTATGGGGTTGAGGTCAGGACTCTGTGCAGGTCAGTCAAGTTCCTCCACCCCAAACTCTCTCATCCATGTCTTTATGGACCTTGTTTTGCTCATTGGTGCGCAGTCATGTTGGAACAGGAAGGGGCCATCCCCAAACTGTTCCCACAAGGTTGGGAGCTTGAAATTGTCCAAAATGTTTTGGTATGCTGACGCCTTAAGAGTTCCCTTCACTGGAACTAAGGGGCCAAGCCCAACCCCTGAAAAACAACCCCACACCATAATCCCCCCCCCCCCCCCCCCCCCCAACAAACTTTACACTTGGCAGAATGTAGTCGGGCAAGTACCATTTCCTGGTAACCGCCAAACCCAGACACGTCTATTGGATTGCCAGACAGAGAAGCGTGATTCATCACTTCAGAGAACATGTCTCCACTGCTCTAGAGTCAAGTGGCGACGTGCTTTACACTACTGCATTTAGCGCTTTGCATTGCGCTTGGTGATATAAGGCTTGAATGCAGCTGCTCAGCCATGGTATCCCATTCCATGAAGCTCTCTATGCACAGTTGTACTAATCTGAAGGCCTCACGAAGTTTGGAGGTCTTTAGCTATTCACTCTGTAGACAGTTGGCGACTTCTGCGCACTATGTGCTGACCCCGCTCTTTCATTTTATGTGGCTTACCACTTTGTGGCTGAGTTGCAGCTGTTCCCAGTTGCGTCCACTGTGTTATAGTACCACTAACAGTTGACCATGGAATTTTTAGCAGCAAGGAAATTTCATGGATGGACTTACTGCACAGGTGGCAACCTATCATAGTACCACGCTTGGATTCACTGAGCTCCGGACAGCAACCCATTCTTTCACAAATGTTTGTAGAAGCAGTCTGCATGCCTAGTTGCTTGATTTTATACATCTGTGGCCATGGAGGTGATTAAAACACCTGATTCCAATGATTTGGAGGGGTGTCCCAATACTTTTGGCAATATAGTGTATCTGCCCTAGTTTCATCACGATTACATTACAAGTATAAGAATAATGTACTCTGTTGTTTTTCTACTAAATTAATTTTAATAATTGTTTAACATTACTTTTTAGGCTCAAACTGCATTTGCAGCAAACCCAGTCAATCCAGCAATTTTATCAGAGGCTTCAGCACCTTTATCCCAGCATGGAGGTATGAGCAGAGCTTCTATATTTTTGTGTTTCTTTTGACCTGAAGAGCATGTGGGTTGATAAGTTCTTAAATTATTATGAAGGAGATGTTTTATCATATAATGAAATCTGAGATGAAAGTCAAAATAACTTATTGGTTAATAAGATTTTTTTTGCTCCAGTCTGTCGATATACCACATTAACATCCTTCCATAATCTTCTGGAGGTGGAGGCAGGAAGAATATTTTGACAGGTTAATACTATCCACCGAAATTGTGTATTTGCTTCTGATGAACATCCTATTTAGCCTTTGGAATGCCTTGTTTTGACTTTTTGACAGGTCTGGTATAGAAATATGAGTACGCTGTATATACAGGTTTGTTAACCCTTGTAGAAACAATGCATCACCCTAAAACCATCCATACATGGGTCAAATGCCGAAAGAATTTTCTTTTGAAAATCTTTTCTAAGAATTTTGGTTCGAATATCGCACCATTTGCGGGCCACACTAGCCAATTTTCAAGCGATCAGATTTTTAGAAAAACAAATTTCTAATCAATGATGGGAGAATCGTGCATGAAATGTAATTGAAAAAGAAATGAGCATGAGCGGATCTTGAAGAAAAGAAAATTCTTGGCCACGAAAATTCTTTTCTGTAGCCACATGACATGAAATAAAAGGCTTGGTTGGCCGAATTTCGGAATCAATGGTGGCACCATTGGATAACAAAATGCACAAAATTTCAGATTTTCTAAAGAACGTTTGTTCAGAATTCAACCCATGTATGGCCTGCATAAGGAAAACATCTACTTTTTACCGTTTAGCTGCTTTCTAGAGAAGTAAAGGGTAGACAAGTGTAGACTTGATACATAAAAAATGTCAACCATCCCAACCTATAACCAGCCTTAGCAGTAAGGTGCACATGGAAGGGCAATGCGCATTACAAACAAAGGATTTACCTGCCAGTCTGCAAAACAACCAATTTGGCCCTGCCCAACAGTTTTCGATAAAAACAGAGGTTTTTGTTTGCACACAATTGCCAAATACATGCGCAAGCCACAGTCCCACGTTAAGGGTCCTCTGTGTACTGTGGACCTAACTCTAAAAATTTCCAGAGCTTCCATAGTAGGAGCACATATATCAATGGATAGGTTAAGGCAGGTGTGCATGGAGGAGCCCATCCCTTCTTAAAGGTACAGGGATGAACGTGATGCCCAGCTATACCAGAATTACAGCAAAGGCATCCAGTGCGTCCTTGCATCCCAATTAGCCAACTACACAAAAAATGCCAACCATCCCAACCTATAACCAGCCTTAGCAGTAAGGTGCACATGGAAGGTGTAGATTTCCATTTTTCTGGAAATCCCTGTAGATATTACTTGATCAAGTTCCTTCATATATCTTCTCAAGACTGCAGTCTCTGATTCAAATTCTGTTTTCCTGGCCAGGTTTGTATCCCAAGCTGTATCCAGAGTTGTCCCAGTACATGGGTTTAAGCCTGAGTGAAGATGAAATCCACAAAAATATGTCTATGGTGCCTGCAGATGGAGTAAGTAAAACAAGTTTTGTTCTTTTTCTTTACAGTGTTTACAGTTTTTCAAACAACATCCTTGCTCATCTTCCACAATTCCATAGCTTCAGCTGTTCTGGTTTTCAGATTTCCCATGGGTGTTGTAGTGTCTGTAAACCTTCATTTTCATTTTCTTTCAATAATAAACATGTTATGCTTTCCTGCTCTGTGCACCTTGATGCTCCTCTTCTGGGGGACCCTGTGGGTGCTCTGGGCTCCTTCTCTTCGATGAGTACCCCCATAGGAAGCTGCTTCCTATAAGGGCACTTGCGTGGGCTCGATCCCAAGCTGCACTGTCTGTGTCTGTGGACACAGGCAACATGTCTTGGCCCTACCCAGTCACAGGACTTGATTAATAGCAGTGGGAGTCATTGGCTTCTGCTGCTGTTAGTCTGCCATGTGAGGAGGGAGAGCTGCTGTTCTCGGGCACGGAGCTGGAGTCTGAGCCATCATATCGGGAGGAGACACTGCTCCCACACCCCCCTCCACAGCTTCAGCCGACTGACCATAGAGGCCAACAAAGACTGGCTTTGTTGGGCTCCACAATATATTATAACCTGGAAGCGATGACCTGACATCACTTCCAGTTTACTCAGAAATACATGGCGCCATTTTAAAAAAAGAAAAGCCTTTAATCACATTGATCTTGGTGTGATTAAATGCTTTTAGGGCCAGAGGAGGGATTTGAGGTCTTATTGACCCCAGATCCCTCCATAAAGAGGAGTGACTATCACAGGGGAGGTTTACATTCTTTGTGTTGATTAATAAAAGCGATCCAAAAATTTTTTTTTTTAAATGACAGTGTTCATTTTTTTTCATTTTTTTTTTTTTAAAGATCCCCTGTCCCCCAGTGTTTGTGTGGAAAGGCGAATGCACGTGTTTGTCCTGCATGCACACAAACAGCGATCGGCCCATACATGTGAGGTATTTACTGTGAACGTCAGATCTTGGGCGGTAATTCTAGCACCAGAACTCCTCTATAAATCTAAAGTGGTAACCTGCTAGGCTTTTAAAGCTATGGATAAAAATTTGCGCCATTTGTTGATGTTGCATGGGCGTGTTTAATTTTAAAGCATGACAAGTTTGGTATCTATTTACTTGGTGTAATGTCTTTTTATATTTTACAAACAAATTTGATTTATTGTTTTTTGTGCATTAAATTATTTTTCGAAAAAAACCGTTGCGCAAATACCAAGTGACACAAAAAATTGCAAAGTCCACCAATTTATTCTCTAGGGCCTTTGCTTTAAAATAAAAAAAATATATATTTTACAGTCCAGTGTTGTGTACATGTAAGACAGGGTCACCCTGTATCGCTGGTCCTTACTGTTTAAAAAAAAACATAGGGGCTATGTTTTGAATATATTCATTTCACAGTACACGCTTTAAATTTGGTGCTAAAGTTCAACCACTTAAGAGTTCAGTCTCAGGTGGATGACAAGGTGTTAAATCACACCACTGGTCTCATTCTTTAACAACCCTTCAGCAGCAGTAGAGATCCAGAAACCCTCTCAACTGACATTTTTGTGGATTGGAATATATCTTTGGTATGTGTCAGTCCATGTGATTTTTAATTCAGCTCTTTAAATTTTAAAAATGTATAAAACGCTGACTGATGTAGCCAGCTCTAAATGTCTCTAAACAGGAAAAGTTGATTCTCTTTCATTGCTGCTGATTGTTTACACTTTTTTTTTTTTTTTTTTTATTCTTCAGCGCCAGGTAGCAAGACCATCTGCTGTAAATAACATGGTGGCTCCAATAAGTGGAAGTGATCTTGGAATCCGGAGAGCAGAAATAAAACAAGGACTACGTGAAGTTATCTTGTGTAAGGATCAGGATGGAAAAATTGGTCTTCGCCTTAAATCGATTGACAATGTAAGTATCCATCCTTCTGTCATCCTAAGGAGTGAAAACAGCTAGGCAGATTGAGGGTTGTATTTTGCTTTAAGGATGGTTATGTATTATGCAGTGTTCTTAATCTAACCTTTTCAGGGGAAGTAGTGTGGTGTAACTTTGTAGATAATGTCTGAGAGTAGTTACTTCCTATTGATGATTGCAATGACTTCTAATTTGTATAAAGGACTTAACCTCTGTCAGGTGTGTATTTGTTTTGTGTGTTGTTTTTTTTTTTTTTGGGGGGGGTGTTATTGGGGTATTTTTCCTTTAATTTCCTGTTTCATAGCCAGAACAGGAAGTGAGAGCAAATTTTCTCCAACAAAAGGAAATCCCTTGTCAGGGTCACTAGAACCTTTGTCCCCATTAGAAGATTTCACCTCCATTCCTGTTCTGGTGTTTACCTCAAATTTGGAATTTTCTTTCAGTGATAACTGTTAGCTCTAATGCAGTATCGGGAGCAAATAAAGAAAAGAAATACTCCCCAGCATCTGGCAACACTATTGTGTTACTTATGTCACGTGGATGAGGGGAGGACATAAAGATGAGAGGAAGCAGAGAAAACAAAGATAAGGCACTTTTTCAAGTCTTTTACTGCAAGCCTTATTAGATCCAAAAATGATCAAGTCTGAATACAAGCTTTTTTATGCAGGCCATAGATGATGCGATTTTTATTTCCTGTAACCACTGACTATGTTGATGGGAGAATCCCTTTCACGGAGTTATTGTGTTCTCCTGGCAGGGAGAGCCATCCCTGCCAGGAGAACACTGTGATTTACTGTTGGCGGCTAGAATAGCCACTCACTTGGGTACAATCAGCCTGCCCATAGATGGTTTGAATCTCAGTTGGTCCCTGCTGAACCGGCCAAGATTCAAACCATCTATGGCTGGCTCTAGACCCGGATACAACAAAGGTTCTTCACATCTGGTCAGAATCCTAGGAAAAAGCATTATTTTCTGTTTGCATATTGGGACTATTTTCTTTTGATAGAGATCTTTTGGATGGACATTTGAACAGTCTTAATAGTGCTGGTTTGAGTTTGAATGGCAACGGTAAACAGGACAAATTGAGAGGGTAAATCTGCCTAACAGGGACACAGACAGCAATAATAGCCTGACAGGTGTTCTAATCCACCTCCACTCTATCCAAACTTAAAGAAAGAAAGAGAGGTTTTAGTTATACTTTAAAAACTAAGCTTGGCTTAACTAAGCATGGCATGGAAGTTGGGGTGTCCTTGTGCCTCGCATTGACTTCTGTCGTGAAGAGGTTTGCTTTTATATGCCCATGTGTGTTTATTGCTTTCCCTAGTGAAGAGAGAGAACACATCTGAGCCAAGGAAAATGAACATTGTCCTTCTGTGATGCACAGGACATCTTCTCTCCATTCTTTGTTTTTCTGGCTGTAAACTTTACTCTCAAGGTTTATTGGTTGAGGGGGGCAAAAAAACAATATTTTGGAGAGGCTGTATTCTGTGCTGCATATTACCTTCTGTCCCATATAAGACTTTAAAGGGAAACTTTACCCATAAAAATTTTTATCAAAAATGTTCTTCAGCAAGGAATTTCACTTTAACTAGTTGCTGACCGCAGATAGCCGAATGACGGCTGCACTGCGGCCGGCCAGTTCTGAGTGGACGTCATATGACGTCCTCCCAGAACGCGCTCTCCTGCGCGCCCCAGTGGGCGCGCACCCGGCGATCTCCGTGATCGCTGTGTCCTACGGACACAGCTGATCACGTGATGTGGTAAAAGGCCAATCACAGCGGCCTTTTACCACGTGATCAGCGGTGTCCAATGACACGCTGATCAGAGGGAAATGCAAGTGCCAGTTCTCGGCTGCACTTTCCTCACGCTGTCAGATCGTGAGGAAAGTACTGCCAAGAACCGGCAGTTGTCAGAGCGGGGATCGGCACCGATCATCAGGGCACTGATGATCAGTGCCCTGATGATCGGTGCCCAGCAGTGCCACCCGCAAGTTTCGCCCCACCTGTGCCCAGCAGTGCGCCCACTAGCTCCGCCCACCTGTGCCCAGCAGTGCACCCACCTGTGCCACTCTGCAGTGTCACACACCTGTGCCCAGCAGTGCCCACCCACCAGTGCCCGCCCACCAGTGCCGCCAGTCAGTGCCCAGGGATTGTGCCAGTCAGTGCCCAGCAGTGATGCCAGTCAGTGCCGTCTATCAGTACCCATCATCAGTGTCACCTATCAGTGCCGCCTATCCGTGCTGCATATTAGTGCCGCCTATCCGTGCCACCTCATTAGTACTGCCTATCAGTGCCCTTTAGTGCTGCCTATCAGTGCCGCCTATCAGTGCCCATTGCTGCCTCATCAACGCACATCAGTGAAGGAGAAAAATTACCTGTTTGAAAAATTTTATAATAGAAACAAAGAAACTTTTTTTTTCAAATTTTTTGCACTTTTTTTTATTTATAGCGCAAAAAGTAAAGCGCCCAGTGGCGATTAAATACCACCAAAAGAAAGCTCTATTTGTGAGAAAAAAATGATCAAAATTTCATATGGGTACAATGTTGCATGACCGCGCAATTGTCAATCAAAGTGCGGTGGCGCTGAAAGCTGATAATTGGCCTGGTAAATAAGGGGGTATAAGTGCCTGGTAGGCAAGTGGTTAATAATTATGCTACCAAAATTAGTTTGTGCTGTAAATTGCCTCCAGCATTGCTCCTGTTTGTGCTTGCGGGAGGCTACAATTTTGCTGAACCCCAGAGTCCTGAGCAGCAGCAAATCTTCAGACTGCCAAAAGATTGGCCTCTACAAATTTAGCACAGTGGCAAAAAATAGAAAGCAACTGAGCATGTGCAGAACAGGGCGAGACCGCGTATTACTGGATTTTAGACCATATATGCATTGATATCTAATGTTTTACATAGCTATACCTGGAAAAGGGGCCAGCCTGAAGTGATTTAGCAGGACTTAAAATGTTACTAAACCCACAGCAGTAAAATCAGTCTGTATATGCAGTAAAGCATGCTTGTTATACTCACTGTGGTACCTAAGGGGTTAATCCTCCACATTGTGTAAAATGCTGTTTGATTCTGTCTTCTCTGATCCTCCCCTTCTACTGTCCCCAATCCAGCTGGTGATAGAACAGAGCCTTTGGGGCAAGCTGCACATGCTCAGTTTGGTGTGTATTGCTAGAGAGTGTTGTGTTGGGTTTTTTTTGTCTTGGGAGAGTGCATGTAATCAGCACAGGGCCAATCAGCACTGTCCAGATAGAGGGACAGGGGTTCTGCAGCCTCATAGGGGAGAATGAAAACTTCTCCTATAAGCTTTAACCAGTGCTCTGCTGGACACTGATATAAGTTACAAGACTGCTCTAACTGCTGATAAGAAGGTATTTAGCAGTTTGTTTACTAAAATAAATGCATTTTTATGTTCTGCGTACTGTAGTAGACCAGATACAGTGACTGCAGTGACTTGGGTTTACTAACACTTTAGCTCTTTCACCTAAAGTGGAACTTTAGTCAGAAAATCTCTATTTAGCGATTGCAACAAGATCAATTTAAAACTGACTTCTGCATATGCACAAAAGGATTTGGGGAAAACCATTTACACAGTTCATGTCCTGTTAATTATATACACATTTTGGAAGCTTCATGCACACTATCCACTGTTTTTAAAAAATAAATACTCCAAGGTCACCACCCAAGTAGTGAGACCTTGTCTTGACAGGGACCTTGTTGCCCCCATCCTCCTCCCTCACACATTCCATGGACATTAAACATTACACTGTAGACTTGCAGGGAGGAGTATCGATGGCCATTATTGTTTAAACATTTTTCCTTTAGCCTTCATGCACAGAAACAAAGTGATGTGTCTAAACATGTTGAAATGTAGCTCCTCTGGCATAAATATTCTTATTTTGCTTTGCTTTTCAGGGTGTTTTTGTGCAACTTGTTCAGACCAATTCTCCAGCATCTTTGGTTGGATTAAAGTTTGGTGATCAAATTTTGCAAATCAATGGTGAAAACTGCGCTGGCTGGAGCTCAGACAAGTCCCATAAATTCCTTAAGCAAGTTTCCGGAGACAGAATTTCCATGGTTGTTAGAGACAGGTTAGTACATTACATACTTTTTTTAGAAAGCTAAATAGTCTTTTACACAATTGCTTTAATAACCAATGGTGACCAAGGGGTCTAGTTAATTTTTTTTTTAACTTCTAGCCCTCCAAAGGATTTACCCCCTTCCTGACCAGGCCATTGTTTGCGATACCGCTCTGTGTTACTTTGACAATTGCGCGGTCATGCAATGCTGCACCCAAATTAAATTTAAGGTTGAATATATTTTTATTGGAAAGTATTCAATAATACAAGTATACACAGTGTTTTCTAGACCATGAAAACAAGACAAAAAAAAAAAGTCAATGAAACTAGGAATTACATCCATCTGCACCCATCTGAAATTGCAGTTGCAAGGTTCTGATGCGCTACATATAGACAAAGTAATATGGCTTAAGCCGAAACCATACGGTTATACATATGCCCAACCTAGGAATCATGTATAATAACTGTGGTCCAAACATGGTATACTTGCAGTGCAAACTGCATTTTTAAAGAGTAATATAAACGTAAGAAGAGAGGTGTGGAGGGATCAGGGACAACCCAGCGGAGACACACATGATCCGTGACCAATCTGGTGGCGTGAGGGCCAGCGGTATACTTACTTTGTTTTAGGGAATCAGAAGAGGAATATACGATGCAAGCCCGCCACAGAGCGAAAAACTTCAGAGGTCTCCCGCTCCTCGGCAAGAAGTACCTCCACTCTCATAATGTCATTCATTACGTGTACCCAATTGAGGAGAGAAGATGTACGAGAAGTCTTCCATAAAACAGGTATCAATTGCCTGCCTGCCTGCCTGCCAATTTAAAAAAAACAAAACAAACAAAACAAAAACCTAAGGAGACAAGACTTTTGTAGGATGGAAAGGAGAGCTATATAAGGGGAAGGAGAGAGTGATTCACCATAAATGTTGTCGTAGATGTCGAAAATCGACTGCCAAAAAGGCTGAACCTTGCACTAGTCCTACCAAACCTGTAGATAAGTGCCTTTAGCTTAAATACATCTCCAGCACGTCTCCAAGACCTGTGGGTAAAATTTATTTAGACAGACCAGATTTCGGTACCATCTGGTAAGAAGTTTGTACTTCTTTTCATGAATATAACAGGAAATGCTGGATTTATGGGTAAAATGAAAGGCCCTTTCCCACTCCGCTGACTCAATTTTGCGCCCCAAATCTGTCATCCATGCCTTCATGAAAGTTAAAGCGGAGATCCACCCAAAAGGGGAAGTTCCACTTTAAGGACTGGTCCCCCGCTCCCCATTAAGGATTGGCACCTTTGGGGAGCGGGTACCCATAATTGACAGGTACCCGCTTCCACTTCCGCTGTGATCGCTTAGGCCAGGGGTGGGCAACTGTGGTCCTCCAGCTGTTGGTGAACTACAAGTCCCATCATGCCTCTGCCTTTGGGAGTCATGCATGTAACTGTCAGTTTTGCAATGCATCATGGGACTTGTAGTTCTACAACAGCTGGAGGGCCACAGTTGCCCACCCCTGGCTTAGGCAATTGAAAGTTGTCATCCTACCCTCCGTCCCCGTAGTCTTCTGGGAATCGTGACAGCTCCCAGAAGACTATGGGGCCATTCAGAAAGCGCAGCGCTACTCGCACATGTGCAGTGGGCACCCGGCTGTGTAGCCATAAGCTGTCACAGCCGGATGCCCACACTGAAGATGCCAGAGTCTGGAACACAGGAAGGGCCGGTGAAACGGGCTGCAGGGAGGACATCGTGAGATCATAAGAAAAATGAGTGGCTGTTTTTTAAAAGTCAGCAGCTACAGTTTTTGTACCTGCTGGCTATTTTTTTACAATGTGAGTGGAACTCTACTTTAAATTGCGTTTGTCAGTGTTAGAATGAAGAACTTTATAAATCGTGGACAGCATGGGGTTTATTTACTAAAGCTGGAGAGTCCAAAATCAGACTCTCTTCTGCATAGAAACAAATCAGCTTCCAGGTTTCATTGCCAAAGCTTCATTGAACAAGCTGAGGTTAGAAGCTGATTGGTTTCTAGGCAGAAGGGAGTCTGATTTTGGACTCTCCAGCTTTAGTAAATAAACCCCCATGTGTCTGAAACACTGTGCTCTCTCTCAGAACCGCCCAAAGTCTGTCAGGGGTTGTCTGGTGAAGTTCGAAGACCTAAGGGAGTTATAGAAAACAAAAAACTGATGAGCAGACAGCCAGTCAAGGCCTGACATGGGCAAGTCTGTCATGGGAGAGAAGATGTCTTGCTTGGGGCCACGTGGTATGGTGGAAGCAGCCTATTGATTGTACTCCAGTACCCCCTGGAAAGGCTGAGCTGTCAAAAATAGGAGAGCGGGGACTAGGATCAGTGGAAAGGGCATGGGAGGGAGATCCTATGGGTTGCTGAGGTGAGTGGGGAAAGACCAGGCAAGGCAAGGACCTATAGGGGTGGTCATTTCCCCAAATGAAATATGTGTCCTTTTTTTATTTTTTCCCCCACAAATAGAGCTTTCTTTTGGTGGCATGTGATCGCCTCTGCGTTTTATGTTTTGCGCTATAAACAAAAAAAACCCGACAATTTTGAGAAAAAAAAATACAATATTTTTGGATTTTTGCTATTAGACATGTCCAGTAAAAAAAATGTAAAAATAGAATACATTTTGGCGTAAATTTATGATGAAAGTTTGCTATGTCTTTGCTATAAAAAAAATAATCCAAATACGGGTAAATGAATTTAATTTACGTGAAAGTTATAGCATTTACAAATGACGGTATAGATATTGGATTTTTTTGTTACTAGTAATGGCGGCAATCAGCGACATATAGCGTGACTGCTGCAGGCATTCTGACACTGGGGGGAAACTCACTTGGTGTCACTGGCATCACCAATACAGTGATCAGTGCTAATGGTACTGGGCAGGAAGGGGTTAACATCGAGGGCGATCAAAGGGTTAATTGTGTTCTATTTCACTATGTTGGCTGTGTGTTCACTGTAAACACACTGTTTTTTTTGTACGTCTCTACTATGCAGAGCCATCCAAAGCAGTGTGCAGGAGCGAAGGGAGAGCTCTGTGTTGTTTATACACAGGTCTCTCCCCCGTCTGAGATACTCGGCGATCACTGGATGCCGGCAAGTAATCACTGGCCAGGACCTGGTGATTGACAGCCAAGGTCGCAAATGGCGGAGCTGGTAGGGCGCACGCAGCATGTGCACGCCCCTTACCCAGAACTGCAAAATCATGTGTGTATGTAATAAAATAAATCATATATATATATATATATATATATATATATATGTGTGTGTAATAAAAATGTATGTATTTGACTTTCTGCACCATGCCGCCCTGTAGCAGTATTTCTGCTGTAGGGAGGGAGCGGAACTGGTTAATTTAAAAGCAAAGCTTGCTTGACTTCACAGTAAGCCATTTAAGTATTTTTAAGGTGGATTTGATTTTTTTTTTTTTTTTTCTCAAACATGTACTCATCCTCCCCTTCTGGGGGTTTCTGTCAGTGCTCCTGACGCCTCTCCCTACAGAGTGCCCTCTTTGCAAGGATAACCCCTTCCTAAGAATTACTTGTAAACTTAATCCGGTGTAGCTAATCACCTTCTCCATAGCGCACAAAGCTTTTCTAGCGCATTTTGGTTCCTGGTAGTGCAACTGAAGCAAACAACTATGGGTGGCGAGGCACTGTCAAAAGGTCTGTGGGATAGTTGTGGACAGGCACAAGTCAGCAAATGGATGCAAAAAAATTTCAAAGGCTTTATCAATGCCTAGAAGCACAGTGGAAGGTATTTGGTACAACACAGACCCTCTCCTGGTTCAGGACTTCGCTGCAAACTGGATGAAAGAGCCAGGAGGAAACTGGTTAGAGAGGCTACCAAGAGGCCTACAGAAACTCTGCAGCAATTGCAGGAATTTATGACAAAGAGTGGTCTTATTGTGTTCCGGTGACAACAATATAACTAATTCTCAACATATGTGGCTTATATTGGAAGGTTGCAAGAAAAAACCAACTCCTCAAAAAAGGCCACATACGGTCACGATTGAGCTTTGACAAAACGCACCTTGAAGATTCTGAGGCCACATGGAAAAAGGTGTTCTGGTCAGATGAGATTAAACTTTTGCCTCAACCCTAAAATAAATGTCTGGTAGGAAACCAATCCAGCTCACCATCCAAATAACACCATTCCTACAGTAAAGCATAGAGGTGGTAATATCCTGTTATGGGGTGTTTCTCTGCAGCATGGACTGGAGCACTTGTTAGGATAGAAGAAAAAAATGGATGGGGCAAAATACTGTGAAATGCTATAGGAAAATCTGCTGCCCTTTGCCAGAAAGTTGTCAATGGGAAGAAAGTTTGCCTCCTATCATAATGACCCAAACCACACAGCAAAATTGACCACATAGTTGTTGGAGAAAAAGGTGAATGCATAGCTTAGTCAGAGCCCAGACTTCAAGTCATTGCACAGATTTTCAATGGGATTTAAGACTGCAGTCCACAAACTGTTACCATCAAATTTAACTGAACGTGAGCAGCTCTGCAAAGAGTGGGCAAATATTGCAAAGAGTAGATGTGTAAAGTTAGTAGAGATATATCCCAACAGACTAAAGGCTGGAATTAAAGCAAAAGGTGGTTCAACAAAATACTGAGGCAAGGGGGTGATTTATTTTTCAAAGGTGATTGTCTTTTTAATTTTTTTTTCTGACATGTTGGTGTTTATATCTAGATTTATAAGTTGCACAGTAAATACATCTGGATAAAACAAAAACTGTATCTTCATTTCAGGGTGCAAAGCAACAAAATGAGATTTTAAGGGGGTGATTTTTTTTCTATACCCACTGTACACTCATACATGGGTCTAATGTAATCATAATATGAAGTATCAGTGTATGGGTGGGTTTTTTTTCTGCTTAATATTGATTTCACTTGTATAATTTTATATAGGTTGTGTGCAGGAGAATATAGTATAGTATGCTGTTGGCAGACTTGTAAAAGATTCTATATTTTCATAAACTTGTCATGTACTTTGCAGACCATTTGAACGCGCTATTACAATGCACAAAGACAGCAATGGACATGTTGGGTTTGTTTTCAAAAATGGTAAAATAACTTCCATTGTCAAAGACAGCTCTGCTGCAAGGAATGGACTTCTCACAGAACACAATCTCTGTGAAATTAATGGCCAGAATGTCATTGGATTAAAGGTATGTTGAATGAGTGTTATGAACTGGGCTCAATATATTCAGTTGAATGAAGACCTGCATCTTTTGTTTCTCAGGTTAAATGTGTACAGTAATGTAATAGGTATTAGTCCTCATGCACACTGAATGTTTTTACAGCTGCTGTTTTTGGCTTTTGGTGTTTTTTTTTTCTTCTACAGCCAGTAAACTCCCCAGCATGTTATCAATGCACACACAGACTGTAATCAGCTGTTTTTGGCTGGAAAAAAAACCCCAGAACTAGTGAATTTCTAGAGGAGTTTAGCTGTAAAAACACTAACGCAGCAAACCAGCATTTCTGGATTTTTTTTGGGCAAAAAAAAATGTTTTTTTCTTTTGGTAAAAAAAAAAAAAAGCTAAAAAAAAACGCCCTAAACGCTGATGCAAAATGCTGAACAAGTCACGTTTGTAACGTGACTTTACACAGCTAATGTTACCAGCGTTATTAAAACACTACGTGTGCATGGAGTCCTAAAGTGGTTCTGTGAAGGCTCAAGGTTTTTTACCTTCATGAAGGTAAAAAACCTTGTCTGTACAGCAGCCCCCCCTAATACTCACCTAAGCCCCATCTCGATCCAGCAATGTGTGCTGGAGTCTTAGCCAATGAGGAGAGGGAGTCCCGGGATAGCCGAAACAGAAGTGGGAGCCATTGGCTCCCACTGCTGTCACACAGCTGGTAAGCCAATGAGGATAGAGTGGTGTAGCCGCCGACCCGCAGCTTCGTGTGTGAATGGACACACGGAGCAGCAGGTACCCCATAGCAAGCTGCTTGCTGTGGGGGCTCCCAACAGGAGGGAGGGACCAGGAGCACTGGTGGGGGACACGAGAAGAGGAGGATCCAGGCTGCTCTGTGCAAAGCTACTGCACAGAGCAGGTCAGTATATAGACATGTTTATGTATCTAAAAAATAAAAAAGCCCTTTAGAATCACTTTTAAGCTTACTTTAGAACTATTTAGGCCTGGTGGTTATATGTGAAAATGACTGATTCTAGCACTACTGTTTTACAAGACTTGACACTTTCTGCTGTCTTGTAAGAATTAAACGCCCTACTAGAATCATGTAAATTTACCATGGCATGGTGTACAGATTCATGTGCTGTCTGCCCAGAGTATATCCGCTCACAGGGTGAATATTCACAGCTTTTTGTACCTAATAAGGCCTACACCCTCATACACCCAAGGGGGAGGCACAGCAGAACCTGAAGGAAAGGGAATCCTATCTGCTTTAATTTGTCTCTTGAACCCTGCCTGTTTGAAAAATAACTACATAAAATAAAAAAAAGCATTACTGTTTGGGGGAATGCAGAACTGAGATAGCTGACTGCAGGGGCAGAATAAGCTTTTTAGGTGCTGAACCTGATGTATTGTTTATTGGAGTTCACCAAATTGTAAGCTTGATGGTCTTTCTGTGTTTGTACAGGATTCCCAGGTTGCAGAAACACTGTCCACTTCTGCAAATGTGGTTACCCTCACTGTAATGCCATCTTACATCTTTGAGCACATGGTAAAGAGGTGAGTGAAATGTCTTCCTAAAAATGATTTGTTAGCATGCTTTGTTGCTTTATCAGGAAGTGGATACACTTCTAAATGGGTCGGTGTACAGCAAACACTTCTGACCTAGAACCCTACAGGGAATATTGGTTACAGGAAGTTGCTGCCATACATCAGAACACGTTTCAGTTTTTTTTTTTTTTTATCCTATTTCTAGTAAGTGGCCTTTTATGTTAAGTCTGTTCACCCAGCATTATACTTAGTCTGCTCCTTTCATAATTCATGTCTGTTGATGCATTTTATCCATTATATAATGATATAGCCAATATAGTTAAGCTAATCCCTTCGATCCCCCAAGGACAGAGCCATTTTACCACATACTGGTGCACACTTCACATGCTTGTTCTTTTCCATATATTTTATTATATTATTAAAACAAATTTAATAGATTTTGTAAACTGCAAATCTGTGACACTGAAATCTAGTGAGAAGGATCTGAAAAGCACAACCAGTGTGTGTAACACTGCAGGATGTAGATCCTGGGCTTGCAATGAGCAAATATGGATGCGCTTGTTCCAAAAGGAAATGGGTTCAAATGAAGCCAACAAAATGGAATAAAAAAAATTCTCTTCTTAAATAATTTTTTACACTTCTTAGATGATTTTCTAACATCCTGAAATTTATTAACTTATATGCTTATTTTTTCCAACAGAATGGCTTCGAGTGTTATGAAGAACTTAATGGATCACTCTGTTCCTGAGGTGTAACATGCTCCCTCTGCCCTGATATAGATCCTTGTCTGAGCTAGGACTTATTTTACAATCGGCAGACGGCAAGGTCTTCTTTAAAAGCAGAATTCTTACTACTGCATGTAAACCCTGGCATTGTATACCACAGCAAAACCTATTGCAACTGATTCTGTACAGTATATGTTAACACATCTTTGATAGGTAGAGAGCTGTGCAACTTTCATTTAATCAGCTGTTTACAACTGTCATACCTTGTGCTGTACAAGCTGAATGAATGATAGTCAAACTTTGTATTTTGATTACTATCCAGATACACAAAGCTGATTTCTGCCATTCAGAGATTATAACGCTGGTTTAGTAAAGAAATGCACTATACTTACATGTAACTGTATCTGATAAAATGCTGTAATTTTTTATTCTATGTGAGAGCTATTTTCCTATGTATGATCTTGTTTAACTTGCATGCCATCTTGCTTTATATATGCTATTTATGCTACAGATAATTAAAGTGATAACACAGTAGTGCAATTTTAATATTCTATACTTAAAGGAAAACTATATCCATGAAACTAAGATGGGATGATTTTAACTCCATTCATTTAGCAGGGGACCATTTCATCATTTGACCTCTGACACATGGCTAAAGTGATATCTTTGCAGCTCACTGCATTCAGAAGGATATCTACAGTTCTCTGTCAGGACTTTGCTATGAAATAAGTTTCATTGGCAAGTCGGCACCTGAGTGAGTGGCTATTGCTGTTGAACGTCTATAACACCATAGGGTGAAGGTATCTGTCAAGGTTTCACTTTGATATAAGCCTTTGCATAACAGATACTTGGCTTGGTTTCTTCTCTGGCCAGTCTAGCACCTTGCTTTAAATTTGTACAACAGGGAAACCTTATTTTAGGGCATATACAACAAGGTTATATATTTTCTCCTAAGCAATTTAAATTGAAAATAACTTTTTTTTTTTTAAATTTGAAAGTGTTCACTTGAATGTTTGTTTGTATAGCAATAACATCTGAAGTGCCTCCTGGGTGGTTGATGAGTTTTTTTTTTCTGATAAGCAGAAACTTATGTATATTCACTCAAAAGACCAAATTTGATAAACTGGTAGATTCAAAGGAACTTTTTATTTATTTAAAATCATCTTGTACACGTCTGTCTGCAGAGCACACAGTTGTCTTCCTTTCCATTCTTATTGCATTTTGTGATACAGTCCTTGAACTCCTGCTTGTCATTTTTTATATGAGGAAAATCTCATGGCTTAAGGTTTTAGGAGCATGTGTTAGGAGATAATACAGTGTAAAACACTTTTAATGGCAAGTGACTGTCAGAATGGGATAGAGTTCTAGTATGGATAAGGTAGTTACATAAGTCAGACATTTCAAAGAAAATCTTTGAATCGGAAATTGGAATGTAAATGGAGTCTATAAGGCCTAATAGTCTAAGTGATTGTAAACTCAAATATACCCAATGAAGTGACTGGCCTCAGGTGATACTGAGGAGATGAAACAAATCCTCCTACACAAGTTTTGCCTTTTTTTTTACCTGCAGCCCTCTCTCCTTTACAGCCAGTCAGCTCCCTGCTGTGAAATAACTTTTGATTTGTGTACTCTGAGTGTAAGTGGAGACCTGAGCAGAGGTAAAGAAGGGACCACCCTTCCTTCCCATACACAGTCCCATAATGAAACATGTTCGGCAGTGATGTTAAAGTGATTCTAAACACACGTTTGATTTAAACTTTGTTCTTTGACTGGAAACATTTTAAGCTGGCTTGTTTGTAAAAATATTTGTCATGTTTAAGACAACAAAAAATATTGAAACAGGAAATGTTTCTAAATACAAGAGTTTTTTTTTTTCTTAATGCCTTTTCTATATTAAGGAAGGGGAAAAAAAAATCTTTGACTAGCTATTCCCCCACCCATCTCCAAACACCAATTACTTAGACAACCCTCTGTCAATCCAGCATTGTGCCCGGTTGTAGCTCTTTTCCCTTCTCTTCCTCTTCTCACAGGAATCTCACAGTAGAGGGAGCAATTGGCTCCTGCTGCTGGCAGTCAGATCCTGTGGGTTTGCATGTGTATGGATGTACACAGCCTAATAGCTGCATGCGTGCCCCCATAGCACACAGCTTTTTATGGGGGCACTTGGAGTAGAGTACAAGATAAGGGACTGCTCTGTGCGATATCCTTACACAAGGCAGGTAAGTAGAACATGTTTGTTTTAATAAAATAAAATGAGACTTTAATTGCCTTCTGTTTACTGAAGGAGGGTGGGAGGAGTTGTTCGCTGGGATTCTGTGTTGTCCACATAACCTGTCAGAAGTGTCGAAGGCAGGTATCAGAGAGAGCAGACAAACCACACTAGATCCTTTGGAATGAGGCTAGTACACACTATAGAAGGATATGCTTTGTATTTTGCTTTTAATTAGGAAGGTTTACAACCACTTTAGGTTTCAGATACATCTCAGAACTTGGACAGAAGCCAGTGGTGGCTGGTATATACAGCTGCTTGTACTACACAGAACGAACAAATATGACAGGGTATAGGTGTGCTGCAGGTAAAGGTCCTGTGGTTAAAGTGTTACTAAACATAAAACAGTAAAATCAGTCTGTATATGCAGTAAAGCATGCTGGTTATACGCACTGTGGAATCTTAGGGGTTAATCCTCTGCATTGTGTAAAAAGACTGTTTGATCCTGACTTCTCTGATCCTCCCCTTTCAGCAGTGCCCTCCCTCTTAGATCCTGTGATCAGCACTGTCCAGACAGAAGTCAGGGGTTCTGTATCCTAGAGCAAAATGAAGACTCCTCCTACAAGCTTTAATGTGCTCTGCTGGAAATTGATAGACGTCACAAGACTGATCTAACTGCTAATGAGAAATGGTATTTAGCAGTTTATATTTACTAAAATAATTGCACTTCCATTTCTGGAGGAGACCAGATATAGTGAATGCAGGATCCTGGGTTTAGTAACACTTTAACATCAGAATCCTAGTCAACAATAAGCAGACTTGTAACACCTGATTGAGAAGGTACTGTATTAGGTTTACTATTAGAGAAAAAGAAGCCTGCCTCTCTATTAGGTGTATGCCAGTGGATGTTTGCACTAGGCGCTGTGAACGCTTCTTGTCTGATGAATGTTTTCCCCCCCCCCCCCCCCCAAATCCCAGCCATAGGGGGTCAATGTAACTGGTACAAATGTTGTTCCATATGATTGTCCCATGGGTCACATCTGTCTTTTTAAAGAATGGCAGTACTCCACAGGTATGATCTTTACCCAACAGTAAGACAGGAGAAATAAAAGTGAAGAATATCTTGACTGCATGTAGAATGCTTGGAAGGATGCCTAACTAATTTCCAGACTAAAGTACACTTCTACTTTAATAAAATGGCATTCATGTAACTTTGCGTTGTGCTTACAATGAGACCACATTGGGACAGATAGTGAGCTGCTGCTATTCTTACAGACTGCAGCACTGGTGACCAAGAGCCATGTGATGCTCACAAATGAGTGTTTTGGGACCATTTGCATTAAAGACTACATATAAACACTGCCACCCTGAATTTTCCAGATAAAATACCTCTGCAGAAGTTTTTTTAATATATATTTTTATATTACAATAATGCTAATTTTCACAGATGTAGTTATCCTTTACATACTCATGGCACAGAATGTGATGCTGCTGGTATAGTGTTATACATGCTAAATTGCAATGCTTTTCCAGTCCTGGATTGTTGCTGCTCAGGTAAAGCATACATTTCTGTTTTTTTTGTTTGCATCTGCTATATGGAATGATGCAATATTATGTTAGGTCAGTATATAAAGTGTGGCATGCATGTTATATTGTAGCGCTAACCAAATTTAAAAATGGGCATCTGCTACCCCCGCACAGTGCAAGCAACCATTAATGGGCTATGGAACTGGTCAACGTATGTGACCTTGCTGAAACTTGTGTACTAATTGTTATTGCTGTGATATCTACAACATATAGAGCTGAAGATCACATAATAAGGTGAGGAGTGATTTGAGCAAACATTTCAATTCCAATGTTTTGTAAATCAGCATTGGTAGTAAAGTGCTTTCCTGGGACTCTCAAATGCATTTAGAAAATGAGTTGCAAAGGTTTGCGGTAAAGACACTTTCACTCTTCAATGCACAGATTAGCTCTATACCAGACAACTGAACCCAAAGCTCTTTGGCCATGTGGTCCTGTAAATCCTACATACTTTGGACATCAGGGTTTTGCACACAAAATATTAAGAACCCTACACAGAGAAATTAGAGCTGGATTCAGTGGCTGGAAACCATTTGGAATTGGCACTTTACAGCTCTGAAACAATCCAACTGGCTGTCCACTCACCTCTGCCCCCAGATTTACACTTTATTGAATTTATTTTATTTTTTTTTAAACTTGTTGGCCAGCTCCCACAGTGTGTAGATAGAAGATCTTCCTTTTTTGAAAGACTAGTTTATTTTCAGCAAGTACACATTTTTGTCATGTTTACCGTTCTCATTTCACATGCTTGCTGTCTCATTTTGTGATTATTGTATGTGATAAATGAAATGTGTAATGATCTCTAGTGGCTGTTTATATATCAGGGAATGTGGTCATTTGTCCCTGTGAAGCTAAAATCAACTAGCCATGTCAAGTCTCATTTGCAGACTGATAGATTTGCATTAGAAAATGAGAACCATAATACACAAAATATGCAGGAACTGCAGTCTGCATCTTCCAAGCAAATATAGCTTCTACCATGTACTTTTATTCTTCAAACTGTACATCAAAACAAGGTTTTAAATAAAATAGAACATCATATGCACTGTGAATTATAAATTTGTTCTTGCACGAAGCTCAAGAGCAAGGCTATTGCAATCTTTAGTTCACTGCATGCAAGTATCCTTAGGCTGAGCCTATAGTGGTGTCAGCCATAGCTGGAGACTACGTGGTTTAAAAAAGAGAATCTGTCCAGTAAAGGTAAAGCTCATCAGCATTGTTGTAGAGGTTGAAGGGT